TTCACGCAGGCACCGCGCCCTTGTACGCTGAGCGCGGCGTCGGAGCAGCAGGAACAGCAGACGTCCCGACAGTGGTGTAATTCTTCCGCCGGCCAGCGCGCACAGAAACCTCCATCTCGAGAGCAGGCTTGTCCTCCTTGACCGCCTTGGGCTTAACGCTGCGCGCGCGCTTTCCCCTCGGCGGGACGACCGCGAGTAGCTCCGCCTCCGGGGAATCTGCGATCGGATCCAGCGTGTCTTTATCCAGGTCTGCGTCGTCCTCCGCATCGGCCGTGTGAACGCGATCGATACGGGCTTGCGTGCAACGCAGTTCGCGGGCGCAAGGTCGACTTCGCTGTCGCGCTCTGCAGTCGCCTGTGCGGCTTCGTCAGGACGGTAGGGACATCGAGCGCGACCTCCGCAGTGCACTCGGCCTCCGACTCTGCAGCGGCTGTACGTCTGGCCTTAACGGGAGCAGGGGCAGATTCGGATCAACGGCCATCTCGACCTGCTCTGATTCTTCTTCGGCGGGGCGGGCGTAGTCTTGCGTGTGCGTTCCTGGCGGTGCAGCAGAAACGCTCAGCTCCTGCACCTTGTCGCTCTCAGGCTCGACGGCGGGCTTGCGGCCGCGGCGCGCAGGCTTAGTGGGTGCAGGTGCAGGTGTAGGTGACTATTTTGTCGTCGCTCTCCGTCGGCACAGGGTAGGCGCGGCTTGGCGCCCTCCAGGCTTCGAAGGCACAAGCGCATCGATGTCCATACCGCTCTAGGGCTCCTTGCTTTTGCCGCGCGCACGATCCTTGACGGTTTCGTTGTAGTGGGCGGCGTCTACACGTCGGGCGTCAGCTTCGCCAAGTCGGTCGTAAGAAAAGAGAAAAGACATACTTCAGCCTCGCTTTCTTCGGGCTGACTTTCACTCGCAGGCTCCTGCAAATTCAGGACTCAGTGTCGGATCGTCCAAAAGATGAAGCAATTGACTTTCTCGCCTTCGGGCGCTCCTTCTTCTTCTTCTTCTTCTCCGTCTCATGCTCATCGCTCGCGTCGTCCGCGGAAGGCTGCGCCTCCTCCATATAATTCCAGCCCAGCAATGCGCCCCACCCCGCACCGCCAGCACATTGTCCCGCCTCTGCTTCAGTCCAGCCACCGTCGCACAGAGATTCTCTAGCGTCGTCCGCGGGTCTTCCCCCCACTCCCCTCCACATTCGCCTTCCTATGCGCATCGTCCACCTCTCCCTCCGTCCCCGCACTCATGGCCACCCCGCCCTTCCTCTTCGCGGGCGACATCCCTGAAAAGTCGTCCGGCGCCATGACCGCACTCCGCCTGCGCTGCGCGTCCGAAAGCAGCGGACGCAGCCATCAAATCTCGCTCCTTCCACGGCAGATTCCTCGACGCGCACGCGCTGTGAGGTAGTGCGGAACGCCGACTCCTGCACCTCTTGTACTGCGCCCTGGTCCCGCGACTCCCGGCGCTGCACGCGTCATGCCACTGAACGCCCCGGTGCGCGGCGTCACGGCGCCTTGACCGCACTCCGCCTGCGCTGCGCGTCCGACGGGCGCCGCGCGAGCGTGCCTCCATGTGCGGCCGTAGCTATCAAATCGCGCACTTTCCACGCGAGTCCACGACGCGCACGCTGGGCGCGACGACACCGAGGGAGTAGCGCGAGATGCCGGCTCCTGCACCTCCTGCACCGCGCCGTACTCCTGCGACTCATGACGCGGCGCCCGCCACGCCACCAAACGCCCCGGTGCTCGGCGTCATGAACGTCGCGAGCGGGCGGGCTGCGGCGTGCCCGCGTTCGCGTTCGCCTCCGCATTCGCCTTCTCTCGCGCCTCACGCATTCGGGTGTAGGTGCCGACGTCGGCGCAGAGCCGGCCACATTTGCGCGCCGTCAAGTCCAAGTCTTCATACAGCGGCGTGTACGCCGCCGCATCGACCGTCTCATCTTGCTCCCCTTCCCCATCCCCATCTTGCTTTGTGTCGGCCTGAAGCAAGAGTAAAAGTCGCATCAGAACCCCGTAATGAGCCAGCGAACGCGAAGAGGGATGTACCCTCTGCGCTGGGGGGGCGACCTGCGCTCGAGGGTGCGGAGAGCCGAAGACGGTGGGAGGCTTTGCCCTGCCGTCTTGGTGGGAGACGTTAGGCACAGCGTCGATGCTTTGGCCGGGAACTTGAAGGGGGAGCGGGCGGGTGTCTGGGGTGCAAGTAAGCATGGGTGCGGAGGCGATGCAACTTATACAAGAAGCGGAAAGAACAAAGGGAAAGGAGAGGAGAAGTTTGTGAAGCGTGATGGGCATAATGTAGAGATTAGGTGCAACAGGCCCGACAAAGGAGATGGAGGGAGAGAGATGGTGGGCGGAGGGAGGGAGCGAGAGAGCGATGGGGAAAGGTGTCGGTCGAAAAGCGAGAGGTAGCGGGAGAGGGGGAGGGGAGGGAAGGAAGCACGAAGAGAGAAAGCGGAGGAAGAGGGATGCGGGTGGGTGTATAGAACGAAGGGGAGTAGCGGACGAATGTGCGAGCTATGAGGATGGGGACATGATACAAGAGAGGGAGGCGGTAGGTAGCGTGCATAAAGAGCGAGAGGTCGATCAACGGAAGGATGCGGATGTGGCAAGGTGAGGAAGACTGAAGATATGCAGACCAAGCGAAAGGACAGGGCGACTGCAATAGGTGGAGGGAGAAAGGGAGGAGAGAAAACAATGGATTATGTATCAATAAGGGGATTCGACGAAGAGAGCTAGCTGAATCGAAAAGGAGAAAGAAAAAAATACACACCACCAATGTGACCTGCTTCCTCGGCGTCGTCTGTATCTTTTACATCTTCTTCCTCGGGGTAATCTGCATCTCATTCATCTGCAGCTACCCAAGCCCAGCAGCCTCCGTACCCTCTCAAGCACAAGCACACCAAGAAATACACATACCTGACTGCATTCTCGGTGGTGCCGTCCTTCGTTCGTTCTGCTGAACGCAGCTTTGCTCCGTATGCAGAGGGAGCTCGTCGTCGTCGTCGTTCCGCGTCTCTGTCTGTTTGCTTGTGTCTTCGTCCTAGAAGGAGGGAAAGATTAGCACGGAAGGAGAGGGAGGGAGGGGGAGGGGGAGGGGGAGGAAGAGAGGCAAACGGTAGTGACGGTGTGTGGGGACAAAGGGGCCGGGCACGTAGATCAAGAGCCAACCACAAGCGATAAAGAAAAGTGTGGCGGATAATCAAGACGTCATTCGGCATCCCGCTCGCCCGCCCACAACCGCGCTAGACGAACGATGCGCCAGCGACGTCGGCGCGCTAGATAGCAAAAAGACGCAAAAGACCCCACCCCGAAACGCGCCACCCCGCACGCGCACCCCAACGTGCGTGCCATATGAACGACATCTGTGGCCTGCCATCTTCCCAGCGAAATCAAAAGCTCCCCGGGCCCTCAAAGAAAAATGAAGGCAACACGTCGAGGTAGCGAACCACCCACCACCCGCACACGACAAACAAGGCCGGGCTCTGGCGCAGGACAAGAAAACCCCGCCGAAGAAACCAAATCAAACAAAGAGAGGAGGCGCACTCACACACTCCGCCTTCTCCTTCTGCACCCTCCCCCGATGGCAAACGGCCTTAGGAGCAACTGCGCCAGCCGGGCGTCCGCTAAGGCTGCTGCTGCTAATGTTCCTTGTCCAACCCATCCAACCCTCCTCTTGTTATTGGCGGCGTTCTTGGTGCACCGTTCGAGTAGCATTGGTGGTGTATTGGACGCAGGGCGCTGGCGCAGCAGCTCAACAGTCCCGAATCTCTCTGGAGACGTCCATGGCTGGTCTGTCGTCGCTTTGGACGTCCGGCGGAAGAAGTTCAAGAAGAGATTCGAGAAGGCTGGACAACTTGTTTGGCCCTGTTGACGCGTCGCACGTGCGCATGCGAAGTAGCTCGGCAAGTTGAACCAAAGTTGAACATCTCTTCAACAAAACCAAAATTACTTTCAACGTCGACAGAAAACCTCTCACTAGGAAGACCCGAGCTGAAGAGAATGTGGGAATCATCAGCATGGTCCCCTGACAAAAATCACCTTCCCTAGGAACCACGTCCCCGAGCGGAATCGAACCGCCGTCTCTATCAAATCTCCGTTCCAACCTCCGAAGCTATCGTTGGATCTAGCACCAGCAATCCACGAGGACGTTCCTAGCACGAGAATGAAGCTACGTGAGTGCACAAATGTTCACTAATGTATCCGAGACGTTCAGGGTTGATTTCCATTCACCTCCGTCAGTTCAACATTTCGTCTTTGTCTTTGTCTCGTCCAATTTCCAACGCCTCGACAGTGCAAAGCCAGCACGGAACCATACCAAAAAAAAACAAGCTTCTATCCCACACCTCATGTCCCCGGGCGGAGTCGAACCGCCACCTCCCAAGAATACGTCTTGAGATGATAGCAGGTTAAGTAGCTTGGGCGATCTACCATGATCCACGAGGACTTTTCAAGCTTTGATTTCGGCATGACGATCTGCGTCTTGAATGGGGTCTCAAGCTTTACCTGTGGAAGACTTTATCGGTTCGCAACGAAGCGAAATTTGGTTTCCCTTGGACCTCTGAATACTTACGGCCCAATGTCTTCCCGCACTCGGTGAAAAAAAAAACCCGTCACTCGTGGATTTCATGTCCCTGGGCGGATTCGAACCGCCATCTCCCAACGCAAATGATGGGTCTGAATCCAACGCATAACGTGTGCTCGGGTGATTTGCCGTGATCTACAGGGACTTTGGTACCCTGAAACTTGACCTGCCTACGTATCGGTACTGTATATCGTACGCATCAATGATTCAGGTTCGGGATCTACCGTGATCCACAAGGACTTTGTCAAAGTGTGCTCGGGTGATTTGCCGTGATAGGGACTTTGATACCCAAACTTGACCTGCCTACGTATCGGTTCAATTAGTGCTTTGCTTTCAGCGTTCTCCTACTGATACTACGCTCGAATGTCTACCTACAGGGGCGCTGCAACTCCGGAGCATATCCGCTCGAAGAAGAAAAAATTATGTCAAACTCGTCTCATGTCCCCGGGCGGAGTCGAACCGCCGCCTTCCAAAGCAAACGGTGGTTCTTCAACCCTCAAGGTGCTTGGACGATCTAGCGTGATCCACAGGGACTTCGATGCCTTGAGACTTGACCTCTGTCACCTGCGTAAGTATCCGTTAAGGTTGTATGTAGTTGAGGCTTTCCAACCCAACGTTTCCCGTATGCATCCTGCGATACTTTCTGCCCAGATAATAACTCTCGGCTCAAGACAGGAGTTGCGAGAATTGATTCGGCTAGGTGATCTGCCTTGTTCCACAGGGACGAAGTATGAGTAGTACCTTGATACCTGAGCTGTGCGGGTTAGTCAAATTCAACAAGTGCCCTCCTACACATCGATAAATTTCTTCCCAGATTTCGTTCGAGGTAAATAAAAAGATACAGGGCTTCAATATGCCTACGGGCGGAGTCGAACCGCCTCCTCCCAAAGCAAACGGCGACTAACTAAGTGTGCTCGGGTGATCTGCCGTGATCTACAAGGACTTCGATACCCTGAAACTGGCCCTGTGCAGGTAACCGTTCAATTTACGCGTGTCCTCTGCGCTGCGGGTGTCCAGTCCACGACCTCCGGCTTCACCTCCGAATCCGCGACCGCTTTGAAGAGCTTCGGATCAATGAAAGTTGGGAATCCCCGAATGATGGCCGAATGGCAATTGCCGAGCCGAGTTCAACTTCGCACGGTTGAATTGGTGGTTGAACCTATAGGCTACTGGGTATCCGACCTGCTGCTGATCTTCCTTGGCCATCCCACGCACCTCCTCCTCTTCCTCCGCTTCCTCCTTGTTATTGGCGGCGTTCTTGGTGCACCATTTGAGTGGCAGTTAGTACGGGTGGACCAGGGCCGGGGTGGTGTTAGACGCAGGGCACTGCGCAGCAGCTTGACAGTCCCGAATCTACCAGGGATGTCCATGGCTGGTCTGTCGTCGCTTTGGACGTCTGTCGGAAGAAGATCGGAAGATAAGGTTGGGCAACGTGTTTGGCCCTATTGACGCGTCACGCACGTGCGAAGCAGCTCGGCATCGGACGGCGAGCCAAGTTGAACCATAGTTGAACATCCCTTCAACAAAAAACGTCGACAGAGAACCTCCTACTAAGAGCTGAGTTCACGAGAATGTGGAAATCAACGGCCGGATCCCCTGACAAAAACTCCTTCCACTTCGTTTCAAGTCCCTAAGCGGAATCGAACCGCCGTCTCCAGAGTAGTTCCAACTTCCGAAGCCATCGTCAAATTAACCTCACCAATCCACGAGGACGTTCTTAACACAAGAATAAAGCTAGGTGAGTACACGACTTTTCCCTAATGTATCCGAGACGTCCAGGGTTGATTTCCATCCACCACCCGGTCAGTTCAACATCTTGGCTTTATCTGGTCTAATCTCCAACGCCTCGACAGCTGCCAAGCCAGCAAGGAGCTATACAAAAAAAAAAAACTGTTCCTGACATTATCTCCCCGGCCGGAGTCGAACCGCCACCTCCCAAGAATACGATTTGAATTCATTGCAACGCCAAGTAGCCTGGGCGATCTACCGTGATCTACGAGGACTTTTAAAGCTTCATGTTCGGCCCAACAATCTACGTTCTGAGTGGGCAGCCTCAGGATTCACCTTTAGATGACTTTATCGGTTCAAATTCCTCTTGTTCAGCCTGGAAAGCAAATTTGGTTCACCTCTGGATACTTACACTCCCGAGTTGGGCGAAGCAAAAAAAAAAAAAAAAAACCTAGTGGAGCTCCATGTCCCCAAGCGGAATCGAATAGCCGCCTCCTATTTACGATGATTCCTCTATCATATTACGTGTGCTTGGGCGCTCTACCGTGCGCTACAGGGACTTTGATACCCTGAACCTTGACCTGCCTACGTATCGGTCCAATCAGTGCTTTAATGCATTCTTCGCCATCCAAATCCCGTAGGACAGCACTATATAAATGCCTTCCTACAGGGGCGGTTCGACTGCAAAGCAGATGCGCCCCATCCAAAAAGATTGTCCAAAGTCTGAACCATGTCATGTCCCCGGGCGGAGTCGAACCACCGTCTCCCAACTGTCTGCAGCGCGGATGAATTCAGGTGGGGAGATCTACCGTGATCCACAAGGACTTGCTCAACTGTAATTATGTTGGGTCTGACGAGAATCGGCGGGGACAAGAGTGCTACCCGATTTGAGGTCTTTAGCACGACTTCTCAGGTCATAATTCAACCAGAGGTGATTTATGCCGCGATTCATCGTTGCCGACAAGCAATAGGCTCGAGGTCGACATCAGCACGTCCCTTGGTCCAGCAATGACTGCGTACACTGCAGTATTATACGTAGCTTACCCAAAATATTCGCCCATCTCGGGAGTCCAATGAAGCCAGACTGGGAACATTTCAGCCTGAAATCAATGTTCACCTCCGAGTCGTGCATTCTGAAAAAAAGAATGGCGAACTTTCATGTCCCCAGGCGGAGTCGAACCGCCCCCCCAAAGCAAACGAGGGTTTCCAACTCACAAATGAAAGTATGCTCGGGTGATTTACCGTGATCCACAAAGACTTTGATGATGCAGAAACTTGACCTGGATAAGCATTATCCATTCTAGTCGAGAGTTTCCAACACAACGCTTCCCGGCTAAATTCTGCGCCCAGATGATAACTCTCATCTCATCTCACCTCACTATATTAATTATGATAAGTTGGCAGAAAAAGAAGACGCGTCAAAGCTACTATGTACGTCCCAGAAGTTGAACGGCCGGCTCAAGTGAGCTGTGTGGGAGTCAAATTCAATCAGTGCGCTATTACAAAAACAACCTAGTCAGTTGCCCGTCCGTCGGCATACGCATGTGCTCTTGGATGATAAATCCCTTCCCAGATTTCCTTTGAGGTGGATAAAAAGACTCTACAGGACTTCAACATGCCCATGGGTGCAGTCGAACCACCTCCTCCCAAAGCAAACGGCGACTAACAAAGTGTGCTCGGGTGATCTGCCGTGATCTACAAGGACTTTGATACATTGAAATACGTTTATGTCCTCTTAAGCCGTAGCGGCGTTAGCCTTTGTTGCATTTGTAACAAATACCACCGGCAGTCCGGCTTTGCCTCTGAATCCGCGACGTTTTTTGCAGAACGCTAGATCAATGATCGGGAATCGCAGAATGATGGCCAAATGGTAATTGCCGAGTTCAACTTCGCACGGTTCGAATACATTGAAACTATGGGAATGATGGCGGACAATGGACAACGCCGGACTCCATCAATCCACCCTTTTCTGCGTACCGCAATGGCTGTAGCTAAACGTCCACAGCATTCTCGTTCAAATGGAATACTGGGTCACCTCAAACACTTTTCTTTCGCTCGCCGACGCTTACCGCCGACCGACAAACTGTCTTTCTCTTCTTGACCCACCTATCTGCGGCTAAAAAATTGCACCTGCGCTGTTTCGACTGCAGCAAAACCGTCACAACTGAATGGCTGTACACAAAAACCCTGAGCCATTCCGATACAACTATTTAGGTGCAACATTTCTGCTATAGCGGAAAAGCTCCGACGAGAAACGCGTACAATAACATCTAGAACCGTTTCGGTGCAACAAATCATTGGTAGCAGTATCGATGCACATCAAAGCCTGGACACTATGTACTCAAAGAGGAATATGTACAACTCGGTGGCCGCTGGACCAGGGCGCTGGTGGCCGTATCGGGGTCTGCATCGTCGTGAAGCGCGGCACGCTTGCAGCCTGAGCGTCTCGATGCCCGCCTTTCGCGCGTCTTGACGCCGCTGAGCGGGCGTAGGTGGCGGGGGAAGCGACATCGACAGCGATTAAAATTGCCGCCGTGTGGGCATCCGCACTGGCGGCGGCCGACAGCTGATACGTGGCGCCAACAACGCCGCGTGCGATTGCAAGGTTAGGGGCTGTACTCGAGCAGGGCGAGTTTTCTACGAGGCGCGCGGCGAGTTGGCGGCGGTGTGCGCGAGAAACCCGAGCGCGAGCATACCCTGGATTGAAAACTAGATCGAAACAAGTAAAAATACAAGATAAAAAGAAAGGAAGGAAGGAAGGAAGGAAGGAAGGAAAATAAAAACACACACACCTTGGGTGCTTGGCACGGGCGCAGCATGCGTGTTGACGAGGCGGTCGTGCAACGTCGATGCAGACCGGGGGGCGCACACGCAGCTGCCGTGTTCTAGATCTGTGGCAATGACGACTCATGCCGAAAGCGTTCCATTTGGAGGGAACTTGAGACTATTTAGCACCAAAAGGTTGCAGCACTTCAGTTACGGCTACTTGGTCTCAGCAAAAGATATTCAGCAATGTTGTGATCACGAAATGGGTATAACGAAAGTGCTACAGCTGGAGTGCTTCAGCGTACCAGCTATGGACAAACAGCTATATCGATATCGCTACAGCACTTTATCTATAGACAAATCGCTACCGATGTCCAGTCCATTGTCCATGGACACCGATCAATGTTTGATCCCAGTACTCTAGTACCTCTCCACGGTTCAATTGTGGTTGAAACCTTAAATCATATGGGCAATATGCGACCTTTTCAGTCTCAATTCTGGCCGCGGCGCATTTTTCCCTTACACTCGCTACAAATCGCTGGAACAGCCACCCTCGGATATGATCTCTGGGAATCTCACTCAAGTCTCGCCGGGCGGAAGTAAATGCGAAAGGAGCTGCGGGGGCTAACTTCTCCTAGAGTCACAATGTTTCTTTTTCTTTGCTGCTGATAGCGCAGCGTCCGTCTTCGCCCAGTGCACAGGCGCGAAGCGGTGGGATGTTCGGTCCGGCCTCGACTGAAATATTCTTTGGCGGCGCGATTCGGACCCGATGGGGAAGTGAGACCGGGGAGCATAGGTAAGACTATGCGGAGGCGTTGCAGATCAACGATCTAAATCCTCATCCTGACTCACCACTGCCTTCAGGGTGTGAGACATCCCCTGACCTCTGCGGTATAAAAGTCCGTCCTTTTCTGGTACAAACCATCAGTTCAACGCCCACCACCGAACTCATCGTAACCACTCTCGAGATCTCCCACCCGCCCATATCATAACCCACGGTGCATCCCTATCTCCCTTATAACCCACCGTCATCCCCATTC